CTAACAACATATAATTAATTCAAAAATCGGGCAATTACGTTTTCATACAATTTCAAAATGAGGAAAAATAAACTTACATGTGTTTCATAGCCATCGGATAACACATCCGAGGGTAGTTGTTCCACAATCTGCGATCGACGCATCATCGGAATGATCGATTCAATGTCTTAGAGTCGCCTCCTTCCTCTTTCCGCAGTTAGGGTATTAGGAATGAGGTTGGTTTTGGCAATTTTTCCAATTTCACCCCGTATTTGACCGATCCTCTGTGAATATTAGCGATCCGCGGAGGTGTTCAATGGATCCGCAAAGCCACCTTGCGAAACCATTCTACCCACGATAATTTCTGTCGTTTAGTGGTGTCACGTCGTTTCATCGGTATTGTGCATCGTTCCTCTGAGGTTTAAAGCGATCCGCAGAGCCCCCTCTGTGGATCTCGTAGTCATTTTCCAAAACTCAAAATTTCATGGTTAAATGCTTGAAACACCCCCTAACTTTTGGTTATTTCATGAATTTTCTCATCTTAATATTATAGTAAGAGAAAAGCCATCGATTATTGATCACTCCTTGAACTTTTTTTTGAAAAAGAAGATATGCTACATATTTACTTAACGATTTTGTTAGGTTTAAAAACTGTTATGTACGAAAGTCGTAACCTTTAATTTAAAAACTCAATTTTTACAACTATATCATATATTTAACAGGTAAAAACAACTATACATACCCAAAAAAGATTAAGTAGTTCAGATGTAACACCTATGTCTGTTGCACTCAATATTATTGATAAAGGATTACAAATTAACCAGACTATATATGATAAAATCTTACTCCCCAACCCCACGCCCAACCAAGCGTAGATACGACACACTTCTCCCAAAGATGCTTTTCAATCACTTATTGTAAGTATTTGTGTGTCGCAACTAGCCATTTTACAGATTACAAGAGCGAGAAAAAATAAACAAATAATAAAGCAGGCGGTATTAGACATAAAAGAAATAAGTCGAAATTTTATTAAATATCGAGACACCCGATCGAATATATTGCATTCATACACACGATGGTGTGATAGTGAGTCTCATTTTATTAACTACGGGCCACTTAAATCATGGCGTGCGAATCATGTTAATTTAGAACCAGACGGTTCGCATTTTGCACATTCCGGGTTCGATTTTGCATTTGTTGGGCAGGTTCTCCGCCATGCCCATCATCTTACCCATCTGTTGTTGCGTCCACCCTTGTTGGTTCATCATCATCTTGATGGCGTCGCACCTGCACATCTCATCGATGTTCTTTAGCTGCATGCAACACAGTTCCAGGTGCTGTTCTGGGGTTGGCTCCGACATCCTCCCTCGGCCCATGCTCATTCCTGAGGCAGTGTCGAGGTACATCATGCAGTGGTTGAGCATCGCCTGCTCAGCCAGCTGCTGACCGCAGGACATTTCAGTTCTTTTGCCCGTGGGATTCTCCTCGAAGGTGGTGGTGGTGAAGATGGTTTTGGTGGTGGCCTCGGCCATGGTCACAAGGAGGAGGAGTCCTGCTGCTGCAAATAGGAGCGAGTACCTTGCCATTGTATGATATATGGATTTAATTGACGAGTGATGCTTAATGTGGTGTAAACGTTGCTGGATTTATAGTAGTGTTGAGAGACTGCATGCAAAGAGTACGTGTTGAATTGATTTGATGCATTTGTGGAGAGGTGGAGGAAAAAAGTTAGCACGTCGTCTTTAGTCCCTGGCCCCTGCACTTCAAGCCATTTGTAAATTGTTATTTTGTTTTGTTCCTTGGAAACGTCTGTGTTTTGGTGCTTTTGTGTTTTAACAAAGAAATTAGGTTTAACCCTAATAAAATCGTACTTTAATTGTGCTACTAATCAACTTAACATACAAATGAAACCGAATTCTATTTGATGTTTTAATTTTTTTTCAGTTGGGTCCAAATTTTGTCCAAGGTTCAAGCTAACCTGATTAACTTAAAAATACAAATTTGTAACAAATTTACAAGCATTTAATCATTTAGGTTAATGACATCGTAAGTCGCCATAGTTGTTACTTCGATAAACTGACCACTCTAAATGATGTATTTTTTTTTTTAAAATCAGTTTTTAAAAAATATCCACTAAGTCCGGAATACAAATCCGGAGTAATTAAGTTCATTCCAGACTAAAAGTGGATTCGGGATCCCGTCTCCGGAACGTACGGACATCCCAGTTCCGGAGTGTTAATACTAGGGTATTTCTATTGTCATTGTTGTTGTATAAACCAAATACAACTTTTTGATACTTAACAAACAAGTTCATATAAGTAGTTTTTTAGAGTGCCTATTTGTAGTGGATGTCAATGGGAGTGAATCGATAGATCTTTGTAATATATTGCTCTAGACTACACATGTTTTGGTGTAGATTAAAGCAGTGATCACATCAACTTTTATGGGTTGGTTGCTTCGAAGTTCAGGTTATCGATCTTTGTAATCAGATATGTTTGTCTTTTCAATGTCTTGGATCAACATAGTTATACAAATTCTTAACAATATTGATATCAAATATTTTAATTTTTGTGTTTTATTAGTAGTATGTCTCCTAACACAATACAATTGTTTGTTGTTAATCATGTTATGGAGAATAGTATTAATCGATTTCCAAAGGAAAATCGTTATGGTAGCAATTGGTCTTCTGGTGTGGAAGTAACTAAATTTTTAATTTATTACATATGACATTTAACCATGTTCTTTCGTACAATGGGCATGTACAAAGGGGTGATGTTAGGTATAAAGGTAAGGTTGTCGTCAGTCGATGCTGGTACAGCATTTGGGTTGTCGTCAGTCGATGCTGGTACAGCATTTGATGTTGATGATTTGCAATTGATCAGGCAAAACTAATGATGATGTTGGTTGAGGATAGTAATATAATTCCACGCAGAGATATGGTGGAACAATTCCAGACCTTTTTTGAATTTGTTGGGGTTGAGACTAAATATAGAAAAGAGGAAACTAAGCCCTGACAAACCCAACAGGATAAGTACCCTTATTATTTTTTAGATTTTGAAGAAACAAAAACCACTCATCGGGGGATGCTTGAACCCTTACCATTGCCCGAAATATCATATCAAAACGTAAACGTTATGCAGCCCACAATCATTCTTCGTATGTGAAGTTGTTTCGACTGTTCAAAAGCAAAGAAGAGTTTACACTTAATTTGGGACTCAGATGTATTAATGAGTGTTTTTAAATTAGAGTTAGAAAATCTACAACAGACATGTTTCAAGTTATTTGCTTTGCGATAAATTGTAAATGGTGGTTAAGTTGAATACCTCACATGAAAATAGGATGGTCACGGAGAGGAAAAATCGCCACTTAGTTGAAATATGTGAAAAAAGCGTCCATGATATAAAATGTTTCACATTGTCTTCGATCTAACGTAATGAAGACTACATCATTTGATCAACAGAATCCACAAGGACTCTAGTTTCCATAACCTTTTGAAAAGCTAACAAATATGAAACCTTAAACAAGTCACATTCATGTTTTAGATGTGTCTTTAATGTTTTCATGCCTAATCATCTTCTTCACAAGATGGAAAAGAAAGCAATATGTAGCATCTTTGTAAGGTATGATTCAAAAAGAAAAGGGCAGAGTTGTTGTGATCCCAATAAAAGGAAGTGTTTTGTATCAAGTAATGTGGTATTCGACAAATCAGCCCCATGGTTGTCAACGAATAAAAAATCTCTACCTTAATCAAATATCTTAAAGAATAACTAGAAATGTCTTAGATCAACCTTAATCTTCTTGAATGTGATATCGTTGTTGTTGAAGATGGGGAGATTCATGTGTAAAGCCCACAACCATGGAAAACGGGTAGCCTCCATGGTAAAAATAATTAAGAAGAGGTTGGTGAAACCTCAAATTTAAAATTATCAATAGCACCTAGAAACCTAATCCAAAGTATCTCAATGTCGTTGTAGTGAAGACGAAGTGATAAAACCATAATCATGTGGGAAAGCATGTAATGCAATGTTTTTCTATGTGGGGACCTTGATCGTTTGATCCATATGGACACCTATGGTATGGTATGCAACATACTTTTACTAGTTATGTTTTCTTTCTCAGTCCTAATGTTGTGCCATGGTATGGCAAAATACAATATGCAATATCCTTATCTATTATAGTCGTAGCTACGGTATATCAAGAGAGAATGTGGCTAATGCAATTTTTGAAAGATCTAAGTCGAGAGGTTGACTGTAGTATACCTCTATTTTTTGATAATCTTTTATATATCCAACTCATAGAGAAACCCACTTTATCTTCAAACTTGACTTCTACAGTTTTCAAATCTATCAAGATTAAGTTTATCCCATCTAAATGGTCTTTCAAGATTGAACCTCGTTCATACTCAATGAAAACAAACGTTGTTTAGCAACAATTTGTTTGTCAACAACTTCATATAGAACCTCATCCAAAAAGGACAACAAGATCGTGCTTTTTCTTCTTGTTGCATATATTTTGTTTCCTCCATCGATGCAAGATTCATACCAGAAAGAGGGATCCAAATTGTGTTTCAAAACTGCTCTCATCTTAATCCCTCTATATACTAAAGTTGTTATTCCCATTAAATTTATCGATTCCGATTGAGGGGCCATGAAACATTACCAACAATCTTGGGAGTCTTTGAATTCAAGAATTTGGATCAAACCCTTTTTTAAGTCGAAGAACAATTTTGATGATTTTTATCAAACAGTTGGTAGGCAAAAACTTTCTGACACTTTTTGAAGACCTTCAAAACAGGGATGTAAGATTCTCTAATCGATAAAATTGCAATGAATATCAGAAACATGAAGTTCAATAACTACAAATACCCAATGGAATTAAAAGTCAATTTTATGAACACTTACACAAATAAAAGTTCAATAAGCAATATTTACTTACCTCAACCCCAGGAAAATAGTGCAATAAGCAATATATATATATATATATATATATATATATATATATATATATATATATATATATAACCCAAGAAAACACAAACCAAAACCATCTACATACAAAATTCTTGAATTCTCTGTTTTGCTTCTGCATGTATCAGCACGAGGTCGAAAGGCCTTCTACTCGAAGATTTTTGTGTTTACTATTTTATTAAAAGTTTCTTTCATAGCTAAAAAAATAACATTTCTAGGAATATGGTAAAACGGTCAAAACTTGGTTTGACTCGATAAAGAGATCAAACAAATGTTGTGAAAACCATAACACTGCACCTAAATCCAACAATTCATGATATGCCACATCAGCAGGGACAATTAACCTGAGAAGGATTATGTAAGTGTTTCAGGATTCAATAACAAAAGTGTAATCATCTTTTTTAGAACATTGGGGTTTTTTGTTTTTTGCATTTACATTAAGGGTAAAATACAAATACGTATTTGTATTTTCACCATTTTATCGATTTAGCCACAAACTATGTAGTGATTAAACCATTTTTTCAGTTTGCGTGATTTTGAAAAAGGCAAAACAAAAAACACACAACATACTATATACTGTAACTACTTTTTGGTTCAACCACTGAAGTATAATATATTATGATCATAATAAAGAAATAGGTAAAGGTAAATCGATAAATGCTGAAAGTATGTTGTGATTTTCTATATTTGAAAACCCAGTAAACGAGAAAAATGTTTGTTTTAAGCAATCAGAAAACTTGATTTTGATAAAGTGATAAAAAGAGGTTAAAGTATTCCATCATCACGTACCTTTGACATTGTGTTTACGTTTGCCTTACAGCATTTTGAATTCCTGTACACAATTGCAACTAGAAGGTGGTTTAGGGTTTTGGGTTTAGGGTTTAGTTTAATTCCAAATAGATGGGTTTCTAAACTGTGATGCCATTGCTTCTGATAAAAATTTAGTGAGTGATTCTCGGCTTACTTCCTTCTCCCGCTTAAGCTCAAGATGACGAATCTGTTTACATATAACATTTAAATAAATAAATCGTTTTTTTTTTCGTTGTTGGAAACCGATTTAGCTTGTTGGGATATACATTATAAATATAATAATATTGAAAATTTGGAATTACCTTAACAGATCCTTTTTGAGAAACGCCAGTGTCTGAAATGATAATAAGACATTTAATGTCATGCTCATTTGCATATTCATACTGCTCCGTGAGGCTCGGATCCAAAATTGGAACAAACTCCGCCTGATAAAGTCACAATCATAAACGTCAATGGAACAAGAATTTCAATTTTTCATCAGTGCAAAAGACGTAAATGCCCTCATCATTGAAAAACGCCTTGAAAACCATTAAAAATTTTAACTACAAACCTTAATATCGTCCTCCCAGAGTTCGGCAACTAGCTCCATACGTTTCTCAAGTAAACCACCTCCCCCTCTTGAACAAACAAGAACACTTCTGCTAGAATCATTTCTGCATGAATTTTGTAACTAATGAAAAAATAAAAAAAGGAGAAAGGTATGAAGAAGCTCCAGATTTTTTTAAATAAATAAAAATACCTAAAGGGTCTGTAGATATCGACAGAAGAATGCTGAATGATGGTTTCTAAAGCAAGACTTGTCCCAACTGCTCCTGGAGGATTTGATTTCTGATAGAAGAATCAAAATATGAAAGTTTGTCAAATAGATAAATGCTAGAAATATCATTTATTTGTTCATTACAGCATCCTACTCCTTGTATTTCTTAATATGTTGATATAATTAGGTTGATATTTCAAAGTACAATGATGTAATAGAGAGAAATGAAAGTATGATGCTATAAGAAACAAATATATGAAATGAAACTACATTGCTATTTCTAGCATTTAACCCGTTGATCAAAACATACGTATTCAGATTGCCACATATTGTGAAGGAGATAATCATATCGACCACCAACAGCAAGCAGTGTTCCTTCTGTAAGTGAGCCAAGACTACTATCCTTCCTCAAATATATCTGCTCCAAAAGAATATACAAAACAAAACAATGAATTCAAGAAAATTCTAAAAATTACATGAATACCCCCCCCCCCTATTAACCTGGAAATATGAATCTTTGTGATAACCCTGGGTAGGTGGCATAAGAGGATCGATGAAAACATTTTTATTAATTCTCCAAATCCGTAAATAGTTAAAAAGCTGAGAAAGTTCATCAAGTGCCTTGCGTGTAAGTGTATCTGCACTGCCATCACACAAAACCAAATCAAATTTCCTAAAAATAATTAAAAAAAAATTAGGGTTTAAAGAAATATTGTTATTGTTGATGAAAAACATACCAGCAGGAAGGGCACCTCTCAATCTAGGAAGGGCTTGATCTGCAATTCCACAAAACCTTAACCCCACAGTCTGCAATTTATTTACAACTCCTTCACTAATATTAAGTTCCTGCCAAAAGAAACATGAATACTTTATAAAATGTAAAATAAAATGAAATTTAAAAAAAAAAAAAAAAAAAAAAAAAACACCTGTCTAAGTTGTCGTCTTATTACCACCCATTTTGTTTTCCTTTCAGAGGACTGGGGACGTAAGGAGCCCAAGAGAGAAAGAAGCTTCATGGGCAAAAAAAGCACATAAGTTTTCAGAAATTTATCAAAATATATATACAAAATTAGTTATTGAAATTGTATATAGAGGAAGGAGAAGGGAATATTAATTATTAATACATACTTCTGCTACTTTTTGTCTATGTTCAGCTTTGATCCCAATCCATGACCAAATTGCTTCTAATAGATCCCCATGATTAAGATGTATATCACATGATTCTGGATCGAAAAAACGAGTTATGATGTCCATTGCAGCCTGCATATCATTAAAATAATGACTATTTAATTCCTTCATTCCATTCCGTTGGAGAATGCAAACAGGTTTCTTTTATTCCATTCCATTCCTTCCTAATTCAATCATACCTTGATGACCTCGGCCTCTGTTAGTGATGAAGCACCTCCAATAACATCAAAATCTCCCTGCATATCACAAGTTATGTTAAAAAATTGTCTCCAAAATCCAAATTAATAATCTAGAAGAGTTAACCTGAAGATATCGATTTGGTGGCGAATGACCGATTGATCTACGATATACATAACATATTTCAAATCTTTTGAAAGATGATTTCTGCAAAAAACAACAAACATTTGAATAGCAAAACAAAAACAGTAAAGACTACACACTTTGCGTATTATAAAGTAAAATAAATAAATAAAACATAGTGATTCTCGTTTGATCAAAGCAACTTAAATGTCCATTCTAGGTTCAAAAACTTCATCTTGCTAATAAAATACTTGCATAGATTCAGCAAATTTTTATTTATTTAAATATTAGTTTATTAGAATGCTTATCCGTACCTGGTTTAGAACAACCCAGTTAATAAAGGGCAACCGCAGCTCATGGCAGAGTTCCACCATGTCTCCACCACTTGTCAAAAGCTTAACAGTATTCCTTCAAAATATAAAATCAACCATCTAGTCAACTCGACATGTTTGACCAAACTCCAAATATACAAATTGAAATGCCAAAACCAACAAAAAGTCTATCCACCAATGAGTCCATATACTCACACACAATCACTTGGGGAAAAATCAAAAAGCATTGTAGGGCTATTTTCAATGATACAGATGAGGACAAAAAGTTGCAATTTTTGTCCCATTGACTCCAATTAGGGTGAATGAGAAGAACAAATATAAATATGATGATACCTATTGAATTGTAGAGAATCTCCTAGCAAACGCATTGGAATTATCTCCAAACGTTTAGCACAATGCAGCTTAAACACTGCAGCAGATACCTCCCAAACCAAATCACGGATTTCAGTGTCCAAATCTGTATGTTGTATCGATGACGTGTCATTTCCACCTAATTTTGGTATTTCTGCATGGTTTTTGGTGCTCAATGTCTCCTCACTGAAGATAGCATCCACAACTTTATCATATATGCTGGTGTCCTCGGAATTATGCATTGTTCTCAAGAAATCTACAAAATAATTGCAAGTTTATGAAAAAATTAGACATAAAATTATTACTGATTGATTACTTACTGTCTAATAATTCGGATTCCATTCGAGGAGGGAAAGCGTGTTGGAGGAGTTCTGTGGCTGAGGGGCGATCTGATGGAATTGATGACATCATGCGGCGTAATAATGAAGCTTGTTCTGGAAACTCAGTAATCCAATCCAAAGGAAGCTCTCCCTTCTTTTTTAAGTCGGAAAGAACAACGTGTCTTTCCATTCCGGTGCTAAAGGGATGCCAGATCTCAAGGAATACGATTCCCAAGCTGTACATATCTGCCTGAACAACATAATAAACAAACACAAGTGAGAACAAGTGCTGGAATGGAATCCACACAAAAAAAGTACTTGTGCTCTTCAAAGCAATGGAATGGACAATTCCATTGGAATGTAAGTATGGAAGCTGTGGAATGGACAATTCCATAGATGGAAACAGGGCAAGAATGGAGTGTTGATGAAAAGAAAAATGTTTGTTCTGGTCTGTCTGATGGAATGGAATGGAATGGACAAATCATATTACATGCCATGATGCCAACCAAACATACAATGGAATGTAATGACTCATTCCGTTACTTTGTCATCCCTTTCCTTTGATGGATTGGAGTGGACCATTCTTGAAGGAATGTGATTCTTTCCATTTGGCTGATTTTCATTCCTTAGCTGGGAGTATTTTTTACATTCAATCATGGGATGGAGTAAAATTTACAATATAACCCATTTTTATTTATGCTCTTTATAATGACACAAATCCTCCTCATTTAAATTTAATAATTTTAATTAAATTTACAATTCTTGTTTTCTAAAATTACCTAGAATATGTTTTACTATAGCCTTATCAGGGTTTTAATAGTTATAATTCAATTAATGTATAGAATAGAGTTAACACTATATAGATTAAATCTAACAAAAGTCATTCCATTCCTAAAAGTCAACCAAATATGATCATGGAATGTACAACTCATTCCATCACTAAAATGTCCATTTCATTCCATCCAACTAAACAAAATGCAATGTCATTATGGAGTTGGTGTTCATCATATTAATCATAAATCAATAAGATAATGAAAAGAACTCACTTTCTCATTGATTTTTGGCCATCTTTGCTCGATTTCTGGAGCTGTATAAAAATAAGTACCAATCTGACCAGTCCCATCAACCGACACTCCAGTTGTTTCTGCAGGGTCTACATCTTGTTCCAACTGCTCCAGCTTTAAAAACTTAGCTGATGGATCACAAACATAAAACTATGCAGCTTAACTTTCACTTCTTTTTAAAAAATTTAAAACTTTAAGTGAGTGTTTGAATAATATGTACATAAGTTACTACTTACCAAGGCCAAAATCCCCGATTTTAATATCATTACGAGCATCAAAGAAAATGTTATTTGGAGTCAAGTCACGGTGGATAATTCCTTGGCTATGAATGTGGGCCAGGCCTTCTACAATTTGTCTAAACAAATGCCATGCCAGTTTCTTGTCAAAATGACTATATGATTCAAACATCTGTCGAAGAGTCCTTTACAAAAACAAAAAAACAAACAAATCAATGACTTAATAAGGAAAAAAACTGGAAGTGGAATGATGTAATGAAAAGAAATGGAAGTAGGATGATATGATTAACAGATAAATGGAAGTGCATCACTTTGAAGCAGAAATAGAAAGTGAGTGGTAACCTTGGACAGTATTCCATCTGAATATAGAGGTATGTTCCAACTTTGTTATCTTGTGTTACTCCTACAACATCAGTTGAGCTCTGATCTATGAAACTGAAACTGGAACTAGCTGCTGCAGTCCTTGAACCCCAAGTGGCATCATTATACAAACCACCAACTCCTGTTTCAAACCATGCCTGAAATCAAATATATCAAGTTAAGTTACATGTTCATGGTTTACAATAATGTTTCTGCTTAAAAATGGTAATATACATAGAAGCAATTCAATTTTATAAAAAAACTAAATGGATGGAGCATAGAAGGTTATCTACCTGGTAGTAACGTACAACATGTTGATGCTGCAATCGGGAAAGAGTGGCTACTTCTCTAAGTACCTCAAAGTGGAGGAAATACAAGAATATCATACAGCATTTGGTAAGAATTCCAAGCAGAAATTAGTAAACAAGTTTACTACTTTCTGTTGATTTTTTGGTCATGAATGTTATAGCTTTTGTTCAGCTACTAACAAGAAATATCACGAGTATTTGTCTAAATTCAAACAAAGGTATGCAACTGTTCGAGGGCTACAAAAGAAATTCGAAATTTTTTGATACTGAAAGATTTGATTATGAAAGGTTAAATGCAAGAAAGAATGATGTACTTTCATTTGTTTGTTTATTATAGCATCCTGCTTCATTTCTTCTTATTACAGCATTGTATTTTGGAACATTAACCCAAAAACAGCAATGTCATCCAACTATAAAGCAATTTTCACTGCTGTAATTGAGTATATTTTTCAAAGTACAATACCTTGGTAAGAAAAAAAAATTGAAAATAGAATGTTGTAAAAGAAAGAAATTAGAGTAGAATGTCAAAAGGAACAAATAAATGAAAATATGTTGCTATTTCTTGCATTTAGCCCAAAGTGAAAAGACACTTTGAATATCAATCAAATGTAACACATTTCCAATTCAACAACTATGTCGAGTTACTAAAATTAAACATCATGTACTTTCCCAGAGGGATTTAAGTACCATAAAACTGTTTCTTGAAATAGTAATGACTAATGAGATGTGTCTACCTCAAAATTCTGTCATCTAAAGGTTGACTTTTGTCTTTTAGTCGAATCTTCTTAACAGCATACTGTCTTCCATCCAGCTTATTCTTGCATAACACCACATGCCCAAAACCACCATGGCCTAACACATCACAACAAAAGGAATCAGAATGGAATAATAAGTCTAGATGGAAGTAGATTCATAAAACTGTGGACAAAATAGACCCTAATACTTGTATACAGTTGAGATCAAATGATGACTCACCAAGTGGTTGAAGCTCCTCAAAATCATTCAGATACCGAGAGCTTAATGTAGGTGAGGTATGCTGCTGCCCTCTGGAATCAGAAACAGTTCTCCAAAAATGAGATATCTTTGAGGCTACCTGTTTTCATGGCATAGTATGCATTCGTTTTCATTACATGACAATAGAAATTAGTGAAAAAAAATGCTACAAAAGAATGAAAAGCACTAACCATACGATGTCCAAAAGCCTGATTGAAGCTTCTGTCAAAATGTGATGATGATTCTGTTGCTAAATCTGCCACCCGTTCTGAAACAATCTGAAGATACCATTAACCTCTATGAATTAGACATCATGAAACCAAAAAAAAAAAAAAAAAAAACCTCCTATTGAGAATGGGTTAAATAAGTCAAAAGTCGCCCAAAGTGCATTCAACAACATTCTAAATCACTTAATTCAAGAATGGGTTAAATGCTGCTATTTCTTGCATTTAACCCTTATGTTAATAAATAGCTTTTGTAACTAAATACAATACATTAACTATTTTAATAAACAGCTTTTGGCTAGCAACTTGACTGACCCCTTTTAACTTGTACTATACAAATACCCATTTTACCCTTTTACCTGTATTAAGAACTGAATATAAGCAACATACCCCTAGGTTAACCAGCTCTGATGTTACATCAGTTAAGGCATCAGCAAGTGGACCTTTTGGAGCACAAGCAAGTCGCAACAAATGAGCCTGAAAGTTTTTCAAGAGTCTGTTAGCTCTTGGATGCATTTTAAAATAGTAAAATTGATAAGAGAAAGGGTGATTTTAATGCCAGAATCAAATCTCTCTCCACAGTATGTGAAATCTGATGATGATCTGTTGATGCAGATGACACTGATTCTGAATGATCACTTTTGATCCCACCATAATCGGTTTCTTCTTCTGTATTCTCTTCCAGAGGATAATCCTGTGTAATCATGCATCAGTAATGTGATGATAATCACAAAGAAAATTATCTTTCAATAATAGAGGAAAATACAGAAACGAGTTTGTACTTCCACCATTTTTATCAATTTAGCCACATAACTATTTTGATAAAATGCTGAAAGTACGTTGTGTTTTCATGTATTTCTCCTTTCAGACTACCATCTTACCTCACCAATGCTAACATTATCCACTAGTTCCTCAGATGATGATGTAAAAGAATCGGTACTCTTACTTTCTTCTTCCAAATCATCAAGTCTTGATGTAGGACTAATCACATTGTCCATGTCACCATCCTCAACCACCCCAGTCTTCATGTTTTGGTTGACTTTGACTTTGACTTTCTCCAGTGAAGCATTGTGTGGACCCTCTAAGGCATGATGCAATTCCAAGGAAGTGTTTTTATTGTTGTTCTCTTCAATTGAAAGTCCCCAAGGCCATGACTCCCCTGAGCCCATGAAAAGATCTATGAAACCATACACAAAAGGCCCCTTTGAAGGCCTATCTGTAGTCACACATGGAACCTTTTTGAAACAACAGTGAAACAATAATCAATATCATGGAAATTTCAGTTAAAAACAATTGTAGTATATATTTTAGAAATCTTACGTGTGGTTGCTCCAATGGAACAACTTCAGACAAGAATTCTTGTGCAGCTTCTACTAAGTTATAAACCATCACACGTCCTTCTCGAGCATTTAAATTAGCCTGCATAGGAAATCATTTGACTTCTTAAACTAATAATGAGATAATTTGGGAGACAGAGAGAAGTGAATTGGCTTTTCGTACGTATAGGGAACAGAGTTGAAATGTCAAAAAACTTATCAAACTGAAAGGATGAATGAAAAAGGCATCAAATAACAATTTCATGTATGGCCAAATAGCTTTACATAAGTGTTTCGCCATCATTTGAATGTCAAGTGGTGACATTAAAGAAGGAATGTGAAATGTGGAAACAATTATTTACCCATAATAGCAATAGACTTACAATTCTTTACCAATTATGGCAATATGCAACAAAATAAAAGTACAGTATTGTCTATAGTATGTTGCTATTATAAACAAAAGATAAACTACATTGCTATTATCGGTAAGGACATGTAAGTAATATTTTGAGTAAGAAAGAAAGTGCAGTGCTTATATTGGCTAACTTACTCTATAAAATGATGATTGCAGGCATGTAGTGAGTCCGGGATGTATTAAACGGCTGTGTGACCTACTCTTGTGTAAGGACCTGACACTAGTGGTTGTTTGTTTAGAGGGGTTGGGCAATATCTTTAAAGCCGGCGAAGCCGACCAGGTTAAAGAGAAAGATGGTCTGAATCCTTATTCACGAATAACATTTAATGTAGGAGTGGATGAGAAATTATTTTCCTTAAACAAAATAATTTCTCATCTACTCTTGCATTAAATGTCATTCGTGAATAAGGATCCAGATCAATCTCCTTTTCAACCCAGTTGACTTTGCCAGCTCTGAAGATATTGCCAAACCCCTCTAAACAAACAGCCACTATTGTCAGGTCCTTACACAAGAGTAGGTCACAAGGCGGTTTAATACATCTCTAACTCACTACATGCTTGCAACCATCATTTTATAGAGTAAGTTAGCCGATATAAGCAATGCACTTTCTTTCTTACCCAAAATAGCAATCTACTTACATTTCGTTACCGATAATAGCAATGTAGTTTATCTTTTGCCTACAACAGCAACATACTATGAACAATATTGTACTTTTATTTTGTTACATATTGTCATAATTGGTAAAGAATTGGCAATGTGTATGTGATCAAAGCATTGAAGTATGAAGACCATGTCTTTTTCCAATTAAGTGTTGTCTCGATACATGGTGTTTCAAAAATATTTGTAAATGACAACACACTTGCGGAAATGGAAGGAAAAATAGATGAGGGCAAATTTGTAAAATGTTAGGATATAAAGGGGAACCATTCTTCTCATGACTTTTTCTACTTTAGTTCTTTTGGCAAGAAGTCAAATGGAAACGGACATATATAGCTTAGCAGATTAAGTCATATCCCCGTTATGTCAAGAAAAACAGACACTAAGATTATGAAGGACACCTTAACATGAAGACATGTGAGTGAATAAGTGATTGAACCATTAAACAAGGCCATAGCATGCAGATGGAATGGAAAGAACTTTTACAATATATAAACTAGTCAACCCTTACTTGGTCATGAAGCAAGGACAAGAGATTATCTGCATCAGATTTTGATAAACCTTTTTCTGGAATTATCAGCAGCTTTGGACACTTGTAAGGATATCCAGGTAAAAATCTGACAACCATGACCAATCATGAAGGTCAAAAATGGAATGTAACACAGGAGACAAACATCACAAGATAACAATAGAAAGAGGATAAACTCATTAACCTTATTGAAAGAAGAGCTGATACATCTAAATCCTCATAACCTGAATCCTGCGAATATGGCCTGTAAATTCATTGGGTGAAAACTTAATATAAGGAAGACGAAAATGGCCATGGAGTGGATTATCTAATTGTTATAAATTGCAAACCTTAGCTTGATCTTGATTCGGGGTGGGGACTCTGAGACAACATCACAATCTTCTTGGAATATAGCAAGCCTAAAAAATTAAAATAAACTGTTTAGAAAACAATAATACTAAGGCCTTGTTTCTCTTTTTCCCATTAAGTGTTGTCCGGATAAATGATGTATAAAAAAATTTGGAAAACTATGGCGACCTTGTAGAAATCGAAGGAAAAAATAAATGAGGTAAAATTTGTAAAATGTTAGAATTTAATGGGGAAATTCTTTCCCTAACTTTCTCTATTAAGTGATTTAAGTTGTTATGACTACATAACCATGCTTCTCATTCCTACTTGTTTTGCTAAATGCAAGTATATTCACTAATGTTTAAAGATACGTCCTACAAACGTTAAAAAATCAAAAGTGAAAAGAAACCTACATGGACAGTTGTTATATAAAGAGTTGTAATTGTCTTACAACTTGAGAAAACCAAAAATGAAAATTTTCCTGAAGTGTTTGCCACTGTGCTGTTAGTTCATGAAGTAGGTGAATAGAACCATAGCCAATAAAGATTACTTATATTCAAATAAAATGACCCCCCAACAACAACCCAACCATGTTTCTGTTTCTGTTGTCCATTAGTCCATTATCAGTTTTGTGGGGGCATGTTCATTTCGCTTACATAGGTAAATAGACTCAAAACCCCAGTCTTCCCTTCTTCTAACAAGACATAAATAGACACCACCATATGAAATTCTCGACTGAGCAAATGAATGCCTACATTTGCGCACAATTTAACCTATCACAGAAGAAGATTCACTTCCTAATTCGGCAATTCAAGCACATTATAGTTCAAATTCAAGATGATATCAACAAACTCGTTGTTCATAACAAAAGGTTATCATCTATGCTATACCATTTTAATCTCTCTCAGATTAGATTTTTGAGGATTGGTGGAACTAGCCCTGCTTAACAATTATGTGTTTGCATTGATATTTAACAAGAATAATAATAAGGAAACTACTAACAGTGCGGTAAGCTCCTCCGATAGAAGTTCGCCGCCAACGCCGTCGATAGAAGTGTGGTCATTGGTGGGCGCCCTGCGCCTCCCTGTGCCACCACGCTTCTTCTTTTTGGAGCTATGGCCCATATTTCTTTCTATTTGACTTCCGATTGAATCTCGGTAAGCGATGATTCATGCCAATCCAAACAAATCAGAAACAATACAAACTAATAAGCAGATTTTGGAGTGATTCGCATATGAATTCCTCGGGAGAGTGATGTATTATAGGTTTGTGGTTTTGTTCGTGAAGGAAGGGTTTAGAAAGAGAAATCTCGAAGTGCAAATTGTATGACTTGAATTTTACTTGTAGATGCAGTAAGTATCTTCATGGATTTGCTTCAAAAGTTTGAAATAAGTCGTCTTCGTTAACAAAACCGATTTTAATTCTTCTCCTTTTTCAGGTTAAAGAATAAATAAAATATGGCAAATAAGAACAAATGTAATATAATACTTTATAAAAATAGATAACTATTTTATTTATCCGTAATAGTTAAATTTCAAACATTAAGAAACTTGTTCCAAGATATAGTAAAAATTTAAAGAGATAATTCCAAAATTAGCCAAATACACTAATTATCTTACAAATTTAGCCAAAAGAAATAAAAATTGCAAAAATAACCACGAAAATCGCAGATGGATATGACCCATCTACGATTTTGCCCTTCCATCTGCGAATGTACAAGCGCCTAAAGCACAGATGTTATGCTTTAGGCGCTTGTACATTCGCAGATGGAATAGTCCATCTGCGATTTTCGTTTTCCACCTGCGATTTTCCGGAAAAAAAAATATAAAACCGTTTTTTTTTCTTCATTTTTCACTCTTCAATATAGAAAAACTCTCTTTCTCTCTCTCGGCGATTCCATGCGATTCTCTATGACGATTTCTCGAAGAAAATTGACGATTTTTTCAACAATCCCGAAAATATGGTTAGATTTTAGGGATAATAACTTAAAAGGGTAATATATTTTTCGATTTATACACATTTGGTCACTGAGTTTTTTTTCGTCCATATTTACCCCTTCAACTTGTTAAACTGTATACATTCAGTCCTTATGACCGGCTACTCCAGGTTACCCGGTAAAAATGACTTAATAGGGTAATATATTTCTCACTTTGTACACATTTAGTCCTTAATATTTTTGTACACATTTAGGTGCTGTTTGTTTTTTGGAAAAAAAGCTCTTCAAACCTCTTATTGCTGCGCGGCGCAGCACACGCGCAGCACTTTTCATCTCGCAGCTGTTTGTTTTTTAGAAGTATTCGGAGTCAAAAACCTCTGCGCGTGCTCTGTCTGGCGCAGCACTTGTACTGCCTCTTCCAACCTCTTGCAACCTCTTCTTCTTCTTTTTTTTTGCTGTAATTTTGATTATATGTTGTTGAAATTTTATTTCACCTTTTTTTTCGTTTTTTTTTGTTTATTCTTGTTATTTTTTTTCGTTTTTTTATATTCAATAATGATAATTTCTTAATGAAATATCATTATTTTGTACTAAAATATCTTTATTTTTTGTTGAAATATCATTATTTTTATTGAAATATCACTAATTATTGCCGAAATGTTATACATTATTAAATTTTACGTATTAAAATTACTATTTTCGGTTTATAAATTAGTTTATTTTAATTTTTTAATATCTGCAGCAGTATGCAGATGTTAAAAAAACAAACAAGCTTCTGATTACACTCTGCAGCCGTTTGGTCCACCTCTTCTACTGCAGAGGGTTGCAGAGGTGGTCCGCAGACTTCATGAATTTTTGCTTCAGAAAATCAAACAGCACATTAGTCTTTTTTTTTTTTTGTAAAATAAGTAATTTTTTTTGTACTCATTCAGTACTTATGAATGATTTTTTAGTTTTTTCTCACGAAATATTACGTGGGACATTCATTAATGAGGTGTATGGGGCTTTTGATGTTTATATCCATCGCGATCTCGACTACTTGGTTGCTTAGGTCATGTGTTCTGAACGTCATAACTTCTTCATATGATCTCAGATTTTAACGATCTTTATATCCATGCGTTCGTATTTTAGTCTATTACAATTTTCATTTAGATTACTCGCATTAAAAAATAATATATTTTTACTTACAATTTTTATATCCATACGCGGTGGCGGATTTAGTATGGTCCCGGTGTTGCACCGACAACACTTGTTTTTTCTGTTCGCCGTGGAAAAATTTTCGCTTTTTTTTTCGTTTATACCTATTTTCCATGTATCGGAAACACCTATTTCATCTCGGCAACACCTACTATGTATTACTGCGTCTTCCCCTGTCCATACGTTTTTTATGAATACATGTATGTATGTTTTTTTTTATAAAATCGTTAGTAAAAATATATTACATTTTAACGGGAGTAATTTTAATGAAAGTTGTAGTAGACTCAAAAAATGAACACGTGGATAAAGATCCTTAAAATCTGATATCGTATGAAGAAGTTACGATGTTCAAAATACATGACCTAAGCCAAACCACAAGACTTACGCAACCAAGCAGTCGAGATCGCATTGGACATAAGCATCAGCAACCCCAAGCACCTCATCAATGATTGTCTCACGTAAGATGTCGTGAAAAGAACCTAAAGAAATCATTCATAAGTACTGAATGAGTACAAAAAAAGGACGGATTTTGAAACAAAAAAAATGTTAAGGACTAAATATGTACAAAAATATTAAGGACTAAATATGAACAAAATGAAAAATATATTACCCTATCAAGTCATTTTTCCCGGCTAACCTGGAGTAACAGGTCATAAGGACTGAATGTGTACAGTTTAACAAGTTTAAGGGGTAAATGTGGACCGAAAAAAAACTCAGTGACCAAATGTGTACAAATCGAATAATATGTTACCATTTTAAGTCATTATCCCTAGATTTTAACTCTTTTTATATTTTAATTAACATTTATTTAGTATATGTCTTTATTATTCTATTATTTATTGTATTAGTTAGTGTAAAAAAAATGAAATTATATTGTTTGTGATTGGGTAATTTTGTTGTATTTGATAGTTTTAATATTATTTATTAGTAATTTGAAGTTTTAATGTTATTTTGTTAGTGGTTGTATGAATGTACAAGTATAGACTGCGTAGAATGTGCATTGGCTAGTTGTACATTTAGTAAAATGGTTAGAATATGTTATTTTTTTTAAGTTCAAAGTTAAATAAATTGTTACAATAATGTTTATAATATGTTTGGTTAGTGGTTTAAGTTGATAAATTCATATAGCATGGTTAGAATATGTTATTTTTCGTTTGTATAGTTGTTGTATAACTTGAAAAATTGTATATACTTATCGTATAAATGGTTGTATAACTTGAAAAATGGTTATAATAATGTTTACAATATGTTTACAATAGTCATTTGTATATTTGTCGTATAACTTGAAAATTAGTATATATTTATTGTTTAAGTTGAAAAATTGTTATAGTATGGTTAGAATATGTTATTTTATTTAATTTGAAAGTTAAAAATCGTTTGTATACTTGTCGTATAACTTGGAAAATTGTATATAGTTGTCGTTTAAGTTGAAAAATTGTTATAGTATGTTATTGTTTTTCAGCGTAAATATATAAAATTATTGATTAAATGTTGGTTTTTGCATTGTTATTATTGTTTATGTTTGTAATTTGAATGTTGGATTATTATTGCATTTAATAATCTGATATTTTAAAATGAAGTAGTTGTTTAGTTTTTTAATATGTTATTGTTTTTTTGTGCAGCATGATTCTAATAATTTAAATGTTAAAGCTATTGTGAACTTAAAAGGATCGGGGTGTAACATATGGGAAGTATTTGATGTGTTAGATGGTGTCAGACGTGATATTTTTGGAGAAACAGTATTTGGTTACTTGTTGGACGGCCCTCGTTTACAAGGGGACGGATTGTTGTTCCACAAGATGTTTCTTCATCAGATACGGCCGGACGCTGTTTTATCTCCAGATGGAATAAAACGGTTATATTTTAGAGTCGATGATACGAAAATGGTATATGGCCCGAAAGAGTTTTGTTTGATAACCGGGTTGAATTTTGGCGAGTATCCTAAAAATATCGGGAAAAAATGTCAGGAAAAATAGTTAGTAGTAATAAAAAATGTTTATTGCGTGAACGTCTATTTCCGAAGCATACAAATAGTTCGGTGAAAATCGGTGACCTGAAAAGTTTTATTTTAAATCATCTATTCTTAGAAGTTGGCGACGCTGATGCAGTTAGAGTATGTTTGATATACATTTTGTGTGAAAGTTTTTTGGGAAAAGAAATAAATGATCGGGTGCCACAAGATTGATTTTTTTTGGCTGAAAATTTGGATGTCTGGAACAGGTATTTTTTGTTTACTTTGAAAGTTTCATATTATTAATGTTAATTTATATTATAACTAATATTTTTTTGTTTTGTTAGTTTTGCTTGGGGTAGCTATTTATGGGATTTTACCTATGAGGACCTTGAGGATACGTGGAACAAGATAAATAAGTATTTATCACTGCCTGAGCGTTGTCAAACTTTAAAATACTCCGTCTCAGGATTTACGGCTCCATTTAGGGTATAAAAAATTATTTATATTTAAATGGTTTTATTGTTATGTTAGTTATTTTAATTTTAACTTTTATTACTATAATTGTAAAAATTATAGATATGGATATATGAGATGCTTCCGGCTGTTCGTGCCTGTGGATTTGTATTGAGAAAAAATAGAGACATTCCTCGGATGAAACGATGGAGTGGCACAAAAAAATTGAAATGGGTTGATGTGAACAAGATTTTTTCAAAGACACATGTTTATAAATTTTTTTTTTAATAAAATTCATTATTATACCTTTATATGCATTTTTAATATGTTCAATTTTTTAGGAGGGACAACGACCAAGAAATAAAATGTCACCGAGTGATGATGAGATGACATCTTGTTATTATATGTCATTTCAAGAGTATGTATATGGTGAACGGAAATCAGTTTCATCCCCAGTACGGGACCATTTTAGGAGACAAGACGAATCTCCGTCTAGTATGTCGTCTAGTGGTCGCTCTCACGGTAGAGGTGGGCGTAGTGGGAAACTCAGCTTAGAGGAGGTGTTGAAATGGCTACATGCACTGGAGCAACAGGTGTTTATGAACCGAGAACCTACTGAGGTGTTTATTGAAGAAGTGAATAATGAAGATCTATGGAATAACATCAGTTTTGAGGAGCATGCAGTATTCCAAACAAATTTTGATAAACCGGTTAGTTACACGCTACATTTTTTTATAATTTATTAACATATTTGAAAATTTTTGTTCATATTTTATAGTTGAAAATGTAGGTTGTAGAAGATGAAGGGATGAATAAAAATAATACAAATGAAAATGTTTTTGGTGATATTGAAGA